TTTTCCTTTTTTTTCTCTCGTTATATTTTCCTGTCTTTCTCTTTTCTCTTTTTGCTGGTTTTCTTTTTTCTTTTTCTCTTTTTGTCTTTTTCTCGTTTTTCTGTTTTTCCTTGCTCTCGTTTTGCTTTTATCTCTCTGTTTCTTTCTTCTTCTTCTCCTTCCTCTTCTTCATTTTTCTCTCTATCTCTCTCTGCCGGCTTTTCTTCCTCGTTCGCCTTCTTCTCCTTCTCATTCTCCTTCTCCTTCTCCTTCTCCTTCTGTCCATCTTCTTCCTCTCCTTGTTCCTTTCCTCTTTTTTCCTCCCTCTCCGTGTTTCTTCTTCTTTTCCTTCTCCTTTTCCTTCTTTTTCTTTGTTGTTTTTCTGTTTCTCTCTCTCTCTCTCGCACTCTCTCCCTCTCGTTCCGTTTTGGAGGGTCGACCGCACGAAAATCACGCGAGCCAAGAGAACAACGAAAAAAACAAACAAACAATGATTTGAAGGTCTATCCCACAAGAGTACACAGAGGATTACTCCAGCGAAGTGAACATTGTCTTCACAAAACACACGGCACCGTTGGACGCCCGATTGAGGTAGCCGCAGCGCCTCTTCCGTTGGCCAGGCCGGCCGCTGGCATTGGGGAAACTGCGCATTCAAAAACACATCGATTCGATTGGGAAAGGAGGGCCTTTTTTTCAATTTATTTTTTGTTTTATAGTTTTTTTGTTGGGGGGGGAAAAGAAGTTGGAGCGCTCCAATCAACTGCCCACATCGAAAGCCAATCAGCTGCGCATCGGAGACTGAGACGACGAACGGGACGGAACGCTGACACCGACTATCCTGATTGCCAGAAATGCCATGCCGACCATGCTGGGAGCCATCCCCACCGTCCCAGCCATCCTCACCCCAGTCATTCCCAGAGAGCCATATTTGTTTTTGTTGCTTCAGAACTATTTGTGTGTTTTGGCCTTTGCGGCCTCTCCGGCTGTTGGCACGAAAACCACGCCTCAACCCTCCAACACCAAACCAATTTTCTCAGTCCCCCAAACCAAGCCGAATCCCTCCAATTTCAAAGCAAGCTTCAGCCAAAGCCAACCCTACCAATACCCAAACCTTCCGTAAACCCCAAATCCTCTCAAACGCGAGGAATCCCGCCATGGTCAACTCTAGACCGACTGTCACTAAACCAAGGGCAACCTACTGGTCAAGCCAAGCCCGACTTAGCCAACTGCGAGCCAACCCTGCACCCTCTAGACCCGCCTTCCAGCACCCAGCCACTCCAAGCCAACAGATTAACAACTAGCTGGCATCTCAAGCCACCTCACTTTCCCTAAATCAACCCAAAGCCAACCCTGAACCAACTCAAAGCCAAGCCTAAGCCAACCCCAAACCAGCCCTAAGCCCACCAGACGTGTCATCAACCGCGTTATCCTACCCATCCTGCACCAAGCCCAGGCAAATTCAGAGGTGGTTTCCCGACCGTACCAACCCAGCCGCGCTTGTCACAAGAAAGCCTAGCCCAATTCGAGATGTCAAGCATCGGTCCAAACCGAGCGTCCAGTGTCCAGATCAGTCATTGCCACAGAAGCTCCAGTCCGACGCGTTCTTTCTTTCGGCCCCCCAAAAACTTGCTGCTCAGTGGGGACTGTGGGAATGAAATCAGGAATTCCCAAAGAAAGGAAACCACCAGTTGGAGGGTTTTTTTGGGGCTCATTCCAGAACTCTTATTTGCAAAAACCTCGCAGCGATCGCCTTGGAAAATTGGCAGATCCCAGATCGCCCAGCTCGCCCAGGTGCGGATCTTCCGGCCAGGTCCTCACACGATTCCCAGTTTCGCGTCCGCGAGTGACAATTCGACTGAGGCAGTTTGGGCTCACAGAGGCACGGGGCGCAGCTCGAAGCCCACTGCGTTCTTGGCCCTCAAATACCGATGATTGGGGACAGACAGATCTTTAGAACCAAGCTCAAATGTGTGTTCCTTGTGTTGCTTGTGTTGATTGTGTTCCTTCCGTTTTCCAGGCATGATTGACAAAGGAGTTGGCGCGAACAGACAGGTCGATTGTGTTTGGAAGTGGTTTTGGCTCTCAAAACAGATGGAACACGTGTGAAAAGCAAGGTGCGGCATGCCTTTCTGCCTTGAAACTTCTGGGGGCAAGGCAAGTGGAGGCCTTGCCGACAAATCCGAAGAAGGCGTGGCGGGCGAGTTGTCTGGTTATAGCCTTTGCTTCAAGTGATACTTGCGCATAGAGGGCAGGTTGGCTAAGCATTCGTTGGAGTGTTCCCGTTGTCATGCGTTTTTCTTTTGTGCTTCACCTTTTCTAATTCCTGCCAGTTCCTGCTTAGTTCCTCAATAAGTCAAACATGCCCTAAGTACAAACATATCTCGTATGTGGCATGTCCTGCTAGATTCTGTTTGTTCCTGCCAGTTTCTGTTCGTTCCTGCTAGTTTTTGCCATGAGTCGGTGCTCATGATCATCGATGGAACAGAAAGTCGCAACACAAGCGGCCTATCCAGGAGTGTTTTTCACGCTAGTCCCTCCTTTAAAAAAAATGTAGTTGCATGTTTCAAAGGTGAATCACCCAATGTACCCACGCACAAACCCCAGAAGCACATTCAGCTATGGATGATAGGATGACTGTGGAGTACTCAAGTCGTTTAGGCATCCATAAAGATCGGGTATTCACCCAGCTGACGGCTGAACCTTGCTAAAATTCGTGTGAATGCAACGCCTGGAAACAAGCACAAACAAGCCGTTTGGCTAGCAAGCCATGCGGCACATGTAAGTGTTGTCAAAGAGAGTGAATGGTGGAAGCAACAGTTCCAAAGGAAGACACAACAGAAACATTTGTTTTCTGTCACAAGATTCCAAGATATTGACAACTATAACTCACTGCATCACGACTCTTGGCCTGACAGGAATGGTTTCACGAATGGTCACACCCCGTAGATGATTTCCTGTAGCCACCGCTACTTCATTGTCCTGCCAAGACTTTGCGACTAAGATCAGGGCTTGCGACTAAGATGCGGGGTTTAGTCGGAGCTTTTCCAAGAAATGCTGTGGCTTTGCGGTGCGTTTGAAACAGAAAGATGCTGCACTGACAACTACATCTCTGATGAGAAATCTCAGAGCAAGTCCGGAGCAAACATGCGGCATCGGGAAAGAGACAGGGATGACCCAAGGATACCGATTGTCGGTCGTACACTGGCATCGGGATCAAAGACAATATATACATATACATATATCATCTATATCACACATATATATATATATGTGTACATATACATACATATACGCGTATGTACATACAAGACATATATGCATATATACATATACACGTATATACAGAAACATATATACATATATGCATACATGCATATATGCATATGTATATATATATACACATATTCATGAATACACACATGAGAGTTGTTCCCTCATGCTTTGGATGAATAGATAGTGCCATCCTGTTGGCCGGCTGTGTTCGAATAGTCTTGTCCCTTGTGAGGTTGTCGACACCACGGTTGTCAGAGGTGGATCGTGCCAGTCAGTATCAGGTTGAGCATCCCTGCTCGGTGTCTGAAGTGTTTGGAGCGCTCATTGTATGTTCTTCTTCGTCATCTCAAGGTGGTCGTACTCAACAAACTCAACTACGACGGGGTCAGGAATCCTTTGGGATTCCGATTCCTATTCAAACCTCCAACATGGTAGCAGAGCAAGTTTCCGGTGTTGAGGAAAGCACGTCGTCTGAGAAACAACAATAATGAGACATCCGCAAGCATTAGGCCCCAATTTGAAGCTGCTCTCCCTAAGGGAACAGTTCCCTCGCCAACTTCGCCGGTCCGTTGCTTGAGATTTGGGTGAGTTTCCTGCCAGTTATGACATGAAGAGCTGTAAAGCGCATGCTCGCAAGCTTGTATGTTTTCGATAAAGTCGATGTTGTCTCCAATAGGTTTCCATTGATTGGAGGTAGCACCTACTGTGTGATGATCAGATTGTTCCGACGGTCAGAAGTCGCCTGGGGAAGGTGCGCCGGCCACCGCCCTATGCCACGGCCATCCTTGCAGATGATGCCAGCGACCGCAGCCGTGTTGAGGCGAGGGGCAGCTGTTAGAAGCAGAAAGAGTTACCCTCTCCACGAACACGGAACCCACCCGGAAAATCCAGGAAGACGATGTTCCTTTAACACGGACCTTCTGGTGGGTTCCATGTTGGTTAGAGGGGTAGCTTGGGTTGCAAAGTTCAATTAAAACTTGAGAACCACAACTGAGCCGGAGCTTCAAACGCAGATACATCCGTGAGGTCCTGCTGAGGATTGGGATGCGAAGGCGCCGAGTTTTCGTCCACGGCCTCCCAGGTTCGGCCCAAGCATCCAGTGCCACTGCCGCCCAAGCTGAAGCCCATGGACCACTGGGTGCCGGCCTCACGTAGCCCAAAGCCGTGGGCGCGGCAAGCTGACTTCATCTAAGCCCATGTTTGCAAAAATCCACTGTCATGCCTTCCACAACTGAAAAAAAGAAAACGCCAATGCCAGCTACAAAAAAACGCAGGCGCATGGCAGCTGGGCCATATTTTCTCTGGACTGCCGCAGAAATTTGGGCCGCAGAAATTTGGTGCTTCCTGTCGGCCGACTGCAAGAGGGCTGCAGTTGCCTCCAAGGATCTCATCGTGGCATTTGACACCAGCAAGTTCCGAAGCGAGTATGAGGCATACATCAAGGCTTTGGGTTTCTCATGCCGTGCCAATCCAAAGCTATCTTACCTCTCTCACCATGACATTCAGGATTGAGCTGTTTGTGTGAGCCCCAACCCCCAGAACACTTTGAAAAGCCAAAGCATGTTTTAAGTGGCAAAGAACAGCATCAACAGCACACCGCCACTTGCAGTTGCTGCCCGAATTAGTACATTGCAAAGGTAGTGGCGTGTTACCCCCAAACCCCCCCTCCACAGGGTATGAATGAAGTTGCCCAAACAAGATAAGAATCTGTGATCCTCACTTGGCATGATCCTTGAGGTGCGCCGAATAGCCACTTTCAAGGCTCACAGCCGAAGCCAGTGTCCCCGTCTGTTCCCTGATTTGCCTTCCTCCTTTGCATCAAGATGGTTAACGCAGAGGCCTAAGACGGAAGACTAGATTGCAGACAGGGACTTGGTGGGTGTCAGATGGTATCAGTCTTGCTTCCAGCTCTGGAGTTCGTGTACTGCTCAAAAAAAACCGTGCCACATGCAACCGGAATAACAAAGCCGCCAGCCGCGGCGCCACTGCAAGCTTTATCCAGCCACGGTCTCGTGTGGTTTTAAAGTGTATCCCCGAGGCTTCCACTTGACCTAAAGTGGCCACCCATGAAGCTGTCACTTGCCAGCCCTAAGCAATGACCCACGGGTAGAGCCTTGGCTTAGGCTGTGTACTCCATTGAAATCCCTCAGTTGAAAGGCAACGCGCCAATCTGCCAGCCAAAGCGCCAATCGGCAAGCAGACCGAGGCTGTGGACAACAATGACAACAACGAGACCAACGAGGGGAACGAGCCTGAGGTGCCGGTCACCGAGGAGGTTGAAGGCCGGGCCAGACGGAGACGGCTCAGATGTCTCCGGTGCTGCGTTCAAATGCGGGCAGTCAAGGACACAGATGGACTGGATTCCAAGTAAAATGAGCAGAAGTCACGACGATGCAGAGGTTGTGTCTTAATAGCAGCTCCGCGCGTGAGAAAAGGCGGGTGAGTTGCCTTGCCAGGCGGCCACTTAAGGGAAACTGGCTCCTGACAAGTGGCAAAGCGAGAACGACTAGGGCCTGAAACTTGGCCTGGTGTACCCGGGTGGTTGAAGCTCATCCCCTGTCAAAGCCGGCAAAGCGTAGTCCACATACTTCGCTTGTACTGACAAGTTGCAATGTCGCGGAGCTACTGGAGTGTACATCACACATGAGGCGCGAAACGAGCTTCCAAGCTGGATCTTCCCGTACGTCACTTCGACCAGACTTGGTGACAAGTTGTACACGTCCAAGCTTACTATACTTGTACTCAGTCGTTGCGTTTATTCTAAAGCTTGAGCTGCCAAAGCGTATTGTGAGAACTAGACTTGTACTGAACAGTTGCGGTATTCAAGCCTGAGCCAGGTGCACTTCACCCATTGCACGGGCTGTGGGTCAAAACCAATGGTACCATTTTCGGGTAGGTGCACCACCCATTTTAGTCTATTTTAGTGGGATTGGGATGTTCACTAGGCGTACGATTTGGATTTTGACATATGGCCAAATGTTGTGATGTTTTAGCTGGAGCTGTCGATGCATTTCTCGCAGGCTACACATGTACTGAACAGTTGCGATGCTCGAGCTTGAGCTGCCACGGGAGTGAAACTACAACGCGCCTGAGCTTTAAGGGTTGTTATGCAAGCCCAGATTCGTTGCCAGGCACAATAATTCTGTTGTAAAACCATGTTCAACTATGCTCAGCCATGCTCAACATGTTCAACCATTCGCAGGTTTCAGAATTTGCGTTTCTTTGATCAGCCCTGTGCCGTTTGTCCCCTGGCAGAAGAGCTGCACACACAAATACACCACTGGCATCAGGATTTGAGGAGTCAGCGCTAAATAGGCTTCTAGCAAGAGTCATGAAGAAACAACAAAAGAGCAATCATGGTTTAAGCACCGAAAAGCGCAGCATTTCCCGCCAACCCTTGAGTCGCGGGCGCTGGTCTTAGGAGTCAAGGCACGGCTGCCGCCGGGGCACTCAGAGAAGCCCATGGCATGTGGAAGTCAGCCTTCCCGAGGAACGTCTGAGGAGTGATTTCCGATGAGTTGGGTGTGGCTCAAAATGAAAGAGCTGGGGCAAACCGCAGGTTGCAGGTAGTCCGTTCCATTTGCCATGTCATTTTGGTACCACTTGTTTGAGCAGCCAATTGACAAAGACGAAGCGAGATAGCTTGGTCTCTGGTGCCAAGGACTCAGCTTTCAAGGTTGCCAACTGACAAGCTGCTGAAGGTGCACCAGGCGGGGGATTCAAACCCAATCGGCATCGCAATGTGTGTTCCGTGCTGGCTTGTTTGGCAGGAGGCCATTTTAGAAGATGAGTTTTGAGAGCTTGCGTTCCCTTTTCGGCTCCTTCATGACAGAGTTCACTTCATTCAAGGAGGACGCACGCACAGAACCAACAGCACCACATATGCCTCTCATGGGCAACACACGCACACACAAACAGAGACAGAGACAGAGGCAGACACAGAGACACTGCAGCGACATCTGATGCGTAACTGTTTTTTTCCCGTTTTGCAAGATAGATCACTTTGAGTCCTGCGACTTTGGGAGGGTGGGGCTTTCGAAGATGGGGAGGTTAAAAATGATGACCCCTTTGCAGGATTGCGTTCAGTCAGCGTTATGCACGACAAACACGTTGGAACAAACACATAGGGGCATGGTATTTGTTTTACTTCCCGATGGTGGCAAATGAGAAGCGTTTCCAGGAAAGGAGGCTTGAACGGAACAGCTCGAGCCACTTGAGAGCTTTAACCCAGGAGCTGTTTTGCAATACCACTGAAGTGCAGGGGATTTTGCACATGGGAAGTTTGTTTGTTAAGATGTCCTACAACTAGCAAATAATCTCGGACACATTACAAATATATAATTCACTTGGTCAATGCTGAGCATGCTTTTGGGGCATGTGTTGTTTGCATACTTTCTTTTTCATTGTTTCCTTTTTTTTCTGGGGTTGGGGGGAACAATTAACTATTTCAGCGGGATGCATTCAGCACTGTTATTGCTCCTGGGCCAACATTGACGTGTTGAACGCTTTATCAGCAACCAGGATCATAATTGGGGCAAAGTGTCCTCGCTGCCGCGTGCTTGCCCGTCAGCCTTTGATAGCAGCGCATCCAACTGCACTGATTTGAATGCACTGTGTACTAATCACTAATCACTAATCACTAATCGCTAATCACTACTAGTCTAAGCTTTGGAGGTCATTGTGCCTCGACTTCGTAAAAAAAGGTGATGCGACGATGTGCTATGCATGTTTGGTTTGTTTTTACATTTGAATGCACAGCAGTCTCGTTTTTGCATGTGAGTGCTTAAACCAGTCTCGTTTTTGCTTTGTTTGCTTCGTATCGTTTGCTTCGTCACGGCCGGCGGCGTCCAGCTTGGGACCCCGCCCCCTTGGGCGCCCGGCGCCAGGCTCTGGTGGAGCTCCAGGAAGCGGGGCTCAGCGAGGTGCCGGACCTGAGTTCGCTCTCCAAGGTCGCTGGGCCCTGAGGGCGCGCGCCCGAAGCGGCGCGCGAAGCGGGCGCGAAGCGGGCGCGAAGCGGGCGCGAAGCGGGGCAAGGGCCAAAAAATGATCCGGGCAGCTGCCTGGGTCATATTTTTTGGAACCCAGTTGCGCAGGGGGGGTGCTTCAACTCTTTTCGACCTTGTATTTTGCAGGGGTTCCCTTTGAACTCAACCAACCACAAAAAGGGATGCCCTTTTTTCCCCCTGGCCACTAGGCATCTGGGGGAGAAAAGGGGAGCTGAGTTGACAGGCCGAAATGCTACACGATATCCCGTGGGTGGGCTGATCTTTTGTCAAGTCAAGGACGTCTGCTTTTGCAAGAATTGAGCGATTCCTAGTTTCTACCATGTTTGGTACTACCATCGACCTTCAAACAAGGTGCCAAGATTCGTGTTTGACGATCTCAGCAGGCAGCTGGCTTGTTGGTACCGAACGCTCTCACCTTGAATTCCCAGCATGTCACCATTTTGAGGCCATCCCCTGCATGAACCTTGGCCTAGGTCAAGAAGAAGACAGCCGCCAGTGACACTGCGAAGCTGCCTGATCAGGAGCGTGAGCTTGTCTATGCAGCTTGGGTGCTAACCAACTAGCTCCTTTCCGCGTCACACGTGTCGTGTCCTCGGCTCACCTGAGGAGCATACCTCCGAGTACATGGGCATGAGCCTTTGGGCGTGGACGCCAAAACGCTGGGACCCAAGCAAGTTTACAGCTTGTGTCAAGCAACATGGGTGTGCCCTTTTTTGATGGGCCCCCTTTTTGTTTTTTTGAAGGGAAGCCAAACGATTTGGGGGGGGTCCCTAAAAAAACACACACACCCATTTGCAGCTTGTTTCGTCTCCAAAAACTGCGAGCGCAAAAAGCGATCGCGGCCTACGAAGCTTGGCTGACACACTGGCCTGAGACTCTGAGAGGGAGGCTCCAAACATAGGTGTCCTTTGTAGGTGAGTTTGATTAAAAATAGATGGGTTCCACTGGTTTAGGTGGGGTTCCTTCCATTTACCAGGAAAAAAACAGAATCCATCGATTTTTCCAAAAGGCCGCCTATGGCTCCCAAGCCTAAAGCTTCCAGGTTGGTTCGAGAGCATCAAGTCTATGGACAAGCTCGCCGGAGCCAAGAGCGAGGCGCCGAGACGAGTCGTTGGCCTCCAAATGGCCACGGGTTGCGCAGAACCTATGGCGATCTCTCATTTTGGGGTGGATGAACGTATGTGCCACCTATTTTGACGTTCACCAACGGTACAGGGTTTTGACCCACAGCCAAATCAAGGGTTTCACAAAGAGTGCGTTTACTGCCACTCGGCATCCACTTTGCTCTTGGTGCAGCCGTTGTAGCGACGTGATGTCTGCATGGGCAAAATCATCATGCTTTCCCTGTGCATGTGCGACGAGCATTGCCTTTGTCTTCATGCGTAGTTTCGCGAAAGGAGTCCGGGAACAACGAGGGCGACCAAGTCCCGGCGATCGCTTCTGCCCCAGAGCAAAGGCTTGATCAGGAGCTGAGTACTGCTTGTAAACTGTCCGAGGAAGACACAGTGCAGGCGAACTTCGAACGCAGGGTCGCAAAGTTTGAGACACTGAACGATGCAAAAGTGGTTGATGTGTGAAGCTTAGCCTTGGTCGGGGGATCTATCAAAGAGATTCAGAGAGATCATGTGCTAGAGATTGCACTACATCGCATGGAGGGATGATGTCCAGCCAGCCTTCACTTGTTTCATGCACGTGTGTGTGTGTGTCAGATGAAAGCAGCTGTTGCCTGCTTGCCCAAGTCTGAAAAAATCAACATCGAGAAGCTGCGGGCGTGGTATGCAGTCATGAAGCAGGCCTGCCCGTCAAACAAAGCTTCCAGCCCGCTTTTGTGGGTCTGAGGGACATCGGGCTGCAGAACATTGACAAATTGTTGCCCAAGGAAAACCTGACAGAATCAGTCTTTCGCAGAGTCGCCAGTTTAGATCCGCGGTCGCAGATCCATGATCCGGGTATGGGTCAAAAATTGGTACCCAACATAGAACCCTGGGAAATGGAAACTTAGACTAAAACCTGCTGTCCAATTACTGGTGGTTTAGTTTTGACTCATACCCATCCGTTGCCGCTCTCCATGTCAGAATTTCAGTTCGGCTTTCCAGGCTGACGCAGAGCTACGATCCATGGCGACCATGGATGGAAAGACCAGTGGCGATGGCTGCGGCGTGCTCTTTGAGCAGATGCCCCCAGCAAGCGGCCCCCGCTTGCTGCCCAAGGCCTGGGAGGTCTGAGCTTCAAATCTCTACCTCCCAGTTGGCCAGGTGAAGGTTGGCGGCACGCAAAGGGATACTGGTCCGGAACCTGGTTCATCCCGGCTTTCCGGTTGCCTGAAATGTCCACAGTTTCACTGACCTTCGTCTCAAACTGGCAAGGAACTGGAATGAACTGGAGCCTTACACCTTTCCATCCTGCGTTCTCTCTCTCTCTCTCTACAGTATATGCAGATATGTGTTTGTACACTGTTACCCCGGCATGCTCTACCGTTCGGTTTTTGAAAGGATAGTTCTTGTGTACACATGTTTAAGATGCAGAACCATGAAAGTGCATGCGCAAAACCCCTGACCGATGCCTGGTCTTTGGGGGCATTCCATGTTAAGTTGGGCATTTTTGTGTTCCATGCTTGCCACATTGGGCATGTGCAACAACTAAACCACGTGTGGTCTCGATTTGACTCTTCCTAATATTCTGGGGAAAACTTTGGTTTCAGCCCCAAGCTTTCATTTGTTTGGTTTTCTCGTTTTGGTTTACTTGCTTTCCCTCAGTTCTGTTACATGTACCAACCCTCACAAAAGCCAAAAACCCGAGTTTTTTCGCTTTGTAGAAGACCCGAAAAAGCGTCGTCGCGTTTGTTTGTGTGAGGGGCCATGTCAACAAGCTAAAACCATCACAGAAAACAAAAGCAAGCACCCGAGATATCCAAACAAACCAAATGGCTTCTGAGGCTCTCCCCCTTTGAAATAGTTTTTGTTGGTTTTCGCGTGTGCTGTTTCTGTGTGTTTCCCGCAGTTATTTGCATTTGTGCATTATCCGTCCAGAAAACCAAGTAAGTTAGCGTTTTTAGGTTTTCCTTCTGAAGCGTACAACAAACCAACAAAACACATGTTTTTTTTGGTTTTGTTGTTTGTGTTGAGATTTGCTCCCTTGCCGAGCATTTGTACCAGCGCAGTCAGCGACCTCAGTCTAGGTTGGACTGAGAAGCGGAATCTCTTACTAAATGGGGCTTTGATAAAACAGGTACTCTTCTCTAAGTACAGATTTTAAAGCGCAATTCAACGGCTGGCCTTAAGTTCTTGCCTCAAGCCTCATAAGGCTCGTTGCAAAGCTCCTTCTTAGGCTCCTTATACGGCAAATGAAGCTCCTTGTAAGGCTCTTTATGCAGCTCCTTACAAGGCTCATGGTTGAAGCTCCTTGTAATACAAGGCTCAAGGGAATCAGAATTGCAATGCTGCTTGTGTGTTTCCTTGTCCAAAAGGACTTCGGTGAAACTGACTCAGAAGTTGTGTGGAGTCTACTAACGATGAAATCCAATGCCAAGTTCTACTTCAAAATGAATTGGAGGTGACTCAAACCTTGCGGATGGAACAGAGCATAGGCAGGAGTTATGCATGTGAGGTTCGGTCAAAATTACTGTTAGTCTATGGTCCATTTGGGAGGGACATGGGCGACTCACTAAATTTCCCTACAACAACCACGGGACTCACTAAATTTCCCGTGTCCTCTTAGGGGAACAGAGGTCAGAAAAAAACTCCTCATAAAGTTCCTCTCAAAGCTCCTCATAAAGCTACACAACGAAGCCTTTTGTTTCGAAGCCATCCGAAACAATTGGCACCAAGGCCGTGGCTTTTCTAGCGGGGCTGGCCTCAAGGCGAACCCGGCGCAATCGGCGGATGTCTCAGATTGCAGTCGGCTTTGCGGATTTTCCCAAAGCCCCGAAGCGGACCAAGAAACGGCAGCACATTTGGGGGACCGCTAAATTCACAGGGTTTTTTCCACAACCCCAAGTGAAAAACCAAGAGATATTGCTACTGATGGACTCCACTTGCCAGTGGGCAAGTGGTGTTTCTTCAAGTACTCATGGGGCTTTAATCCAAGCGGCAGGATGCTGTCCACAGTATGACCCAGGTCATTTCCGTGCACTTGGGCGGGGGTGGCTGCAAAGCGGCCAAATCGCTGGGACCCTCAGGCGCTCAGGCGCAGTTTCTAACATGCAGGTCAATCTCGAGAACTCTGCATGTCACCCGCTTTGCCCAGAGGCTTGTTCAGAATGAGGGTTTCGGGGAGGGTTGCTGCTTTAAGTTCAGACGCGGATTCGCAGATTTAGGAGAGTAGGCCATGTGTATGTATATATATATATATATATAGCAGGTTGGGGTAGGCGAGGGTAGGAAGAAGTGACAAGTGAGCAGTACCTGCGTTTCTCTAGCGCGCAGACAACTGAAGGATTGCCCAAACGACCCGTTGCGCGTTTCGCGTGAGGCGTGCCGGGCTTGTTGCGCACTGGGGGCTTGTTGAAGTGGTTGCGTGGAGAGGAACAACAAGTGTGGTGTTGTTTGCGTTTTGTTCTTGCATGTCTGTAAACTCTGTAGGATGATCTGCAGTCCGAGTCATCCGACACAAGCCACATCTCCTAGAGCACATTGACAGAGCCTGTGCAACAGAAATGCAGGGTGACAACAACTGGGTGTGGCTCAAAATTAAGCAGGAGGGGCAAACCGCAGGTTTTGGTCCATGTTTCTGACCAGGGTAACCCATTTTGGAATTCCGGGTTTTTGAGCCACAGCCAATTCAGCTTGACAGCTGATCGCCTTGAGGTGCTGGCAGCACTACTTCGCCGAACACCAGCTGGACTCCAACGGCAAGGCAGCCATCGACTGGCAGCTGTGGAGGGCAGGTAGATAATTTGCGAGCCTCCCGAGGTCGTTTTTTTTTTTTCCCCCGCTTTGGTGACTTGATCTGATTTGAACCTCCTCATGTCGAAATATGTTCCGCTTTAGGGACTTGATCTGATTTTTGAACCAGCGTTTGGGTACGGTTGAGCAGCGAGCAACATGGCCACCCCGCTAGGGCGAGTTCTATGGCAGCAGCAACACCCTTTTCGCTTCAAGTACCACCGGGAGGCATGGGTGTATTTGGCTCAGACTGCTGCTCCTGCCTTTTCTCTCGGAGGTACATCCCCCGGGCGGTCATTGCAGGATACGATTCTGAACAAGTTGACGCGGTTAGCCAGGCTGGAGATTGAAATCAACGCGCCACAAGCAAAGGACCGCCAGAGAATCGACAGCCTGTTTCCACTAATGACACCTGACCCCAACTTACGCCTGCCAGACTGGTATGTTCGCTCCTACCTCCATTCTCACCGGCAACAAGCCTGGCCTGGTGCCCAATTTCTCGAATGCTGCCTCGTTTTGGCTTTCGGATGCATGGCTTTTGGATTGAAATGGTCCAGAGGCACAAGCTGGAACGACGGCCAGGGTGATAGTGCATTCTTGGAAGAGGCTGGGAGCTTCGCAAATTTTGCAACAGAATGGCAATCTGCTCTGCCTGTCACCAGACATTGTTTGGTCCCCTTTTATTTCGGGGCGGGCAGTGCGATTTGTCTCCATTTGCCAAGGAGGTGTGAGGTTTGCGGATTCAAATTGCTGCTAGATGACATCCAAAAGTCAGCAGTTGTTCAGCATCACCCGGGCAGATCACCGAGTGCGTACGCCGCCAGATGGAACAAGCGCTTGGGCAAGCAAAGCAGCGGCAGGGTGGAGTGTTATGTTTAGAATGTCAGATTGGACTTGGACAAGTGGATGCATCCTCAAAGCCATGGTACAGATCTGACACATGTATATAGTGGTCGGAAAAGTACAAGTTGCAATTTGTGTGAGTTGACTTGTCATGATACAATTTCTGGTCAAAACCCGAGTTGGCTGGTGACTTTAGCCAGTGGCTTGCCTTCGGTAGCTCGCCGCTGGCTCGGCCACTTGAGGCTGATTGGGTGGAGGGCTTCGTGTTCAACCACGATGCTTCTGAGGACGTGATGCTTGACATTTGAAGGGGATCAAGCGAAAGAGTCTACCGGAGAACATTTTGAGTCAGTTAGAGATGTGGCAGTGTTGAAGGTCAAACACGTGCAAGGCGGCTGCAAAGGATCTTATAGAACTTATTTGTCTTGTGTGCGCTCTATCATGCGGACATGAGGCAGCTGTTTTCGCCCTTCCATCAATGTGCCAAGCCCTTTAATATGGAGGACAGCCAGCCAGCTTTCTGTTGCACAGATAGAAATTCTGATAGCACGTCCATGTCTGGCTGTGTCGCGCATAGGTACCTGCGCCATAAACCCTGGGAATGAACAGTACAGGGGGGGACTCCTAGAGAGCCCCCGCGAAAGCCAAAACGCATGCCGGGAAATCTTGCAAAAAGCTTATCGCGAAAGTGCCTAAAGACTGCCCCGCGAAAGCGCTCATTCCGAAGAGTGTGCTACAGTCGCCGGGAAAGCGAAGGCAAGCTCAAAGGTCACGACGCCCGAGAAAAGAGAAGCGTGTGATCGCAAAAGCATCGCGAAAGGGACCGCAAAAGCAAGCTCATGGAACAGCTTTTTGCATAAGAGCTCTGGTGCTGAGAGACCTTGTGAGTAAATGCAGTGGCCTCTTCTTGGTTGCCCCCCAGATAGCTTTAGCTATTGGGGTTTTTATTCCCCTGTTAGCTGAACTCTTACTTGTAAAGCGGGGCAGGCTGTCTTGCGAGTTCGGACCAGGTTCGTGCTGCACATTACCACGCGCATGTTGCTTAGTGCAACAGGCATGCTTCTGCCACTGCGTCACGGGGCGGATTCAGGTAGCGGAGCCTTGTTGAAAGCTTCTCCGCCAGATCAAATCCAGTCCGCTCTCCTTTACCTTTTACCTCCTCAATGGCTTAGTCCTCATCGCGGCAACGGTCAGCCATGCGGCTGACCTCACCAGCGGAGGAGAACATAGGAGAACCTCTCGGAGGTCCTCGCTGTGAAGTTGGGCGACTTGGGATTTTGCAGGAGCGTTCAGCGCACCTGAGAGCTCCATCTCTCTCGCTCTGGTGGAGCCTTCAGCGCCAAATGCTGGACAAGGCCATGCGCAAGGCCCCCCAACCGTAGCGCCTTCCGAGCTCTCCGATAGCATGGGCTGGATGAGAGGGCAGGCCTGACGTTGTGGTCGCCGTGGTCGAAGACGTGAGCTGAAGAAGGCTGAGAATACTGAAGGACAGTCCTGGGCAGAAGTGGAACCTCTGCCCTTCCAGTCTTGCGCTTTAGAACGCCATCGTCTTCAAGCGCGCGCGCGCCGACGGAGGCTTTGCCAGTGCCGGTGATAGCCTCAAGTCACATGGACGCCAAGCTAAGAGCCTTGAGCCATCGCGCGGGGAGGGCGCATGCGTGTGGGGTCAACCCAGAGATGTTGGCACGCGCGAGATGCTGGGCAATTGGGCGCAAGGCGGCCCCCTGTCAGAGGTAGCCTCTCCAGGTGCGTCCGTTGCTACGCCAAGGGCGACCGGTCGCCCTTGGCTCGAAGAAAACGCCTTCGCTTTTAAGCTCCGCTGGGCGCATTCTTGATGCATGGCGTCAGTGTCCCGGTGGCGCATGACGCTGTGCAGTCTGGAGTCAGTGGATGGCTCCTTTGCGTTTTTGCCCGCAGGTGTGCCTGTCGTGTTTTTTCAACTTTAATGCAGACAGTGGTTCGGCGTATTATGGTTGGCCATGTTCAGATCACTGCTTGGCCAGTGAACTTTGGCCGTGCAGCGCTTGCGACGTGAAACCGTTTATTGCGTTGACTGGTCTTCATCAAATGGGTGTTCGGACGGTGTTCGGGTTAAAAGCCCGTACCCCCAGTGAACATCCCAATTCCCGCTGAAATAGACTAAAACGGGAGGTGAACTCACCTGCCCCAAAATGAGATCCCATTGGCTTTGACCCACAGCCAAATCGGTGTTCGTTTTGGAAGCACCAAAGGGCCAGCAGATTGATTCGCAGGACCTCTGCACCAATGCCATGACGGGAAAGCTCTTCAGCTTGCCGAGGGACCATCCTCACAGATGGGTTTGTCTCAACATAGGGGGAATTTCAAAATTAGTGGTCTCAGCTTGGGTTCCCTTTGAACCCCAAAACGGGTGCCCTCAAAAGAAGACACACCCAGATTTGTTTTCAACAATCGAGTGGATCGATTGACATACTATATTGTGCTGTCATAGTTGCTTGTTTGCTTTGATTGTGTTGCTGAAGTGCTTTTCAGTCCAAGATTGCCAAGATCTCAGATCTTCTTTTGGACGACACATGTGAACCTAATTCATACGTGGTGTGTGTGTCTGCATGTGATGCCTCTGTGATGCAGCCTGGCAACGTTCGATCCAAGGCTGATGTCCTCCCTCTCTGTCGACTATGGCAAGAAGAACAAGCGTCCAGTCTGCAGGGCCCCGTAAGAGATACATTTTGCAACCATTTGAGACATGGTGCCTTTTCCGCCAAGAGAAAGAACAACACTTTTACAAGGCAATGTTCAGGTGTATAACGTAAGGATCCCTGAAGAAGAACAAGCGCAGGTTTGCGTTCACGCAGCATTGTGCACAACATTCCCATCATAAGGCTGCCAAATGTGCTTTGCGCATAGGGTTATTCATGCCAATAACTGCCATAGGCTGTCCTTCAGCTGCGTCCCGGACTGCATGCAAGAAGGTGCGGCTTGATATGCCATGGTTCAGTTGCATGTTTGTGACATCGAAGACCAGATTTCTTTGCGCCATCCGCGGCGGAGTGCCAGGCAGTGACTTCCAGAAGGGCACAGCGGGACTGATGGCTGACTCCTTCATCGAGTATATGGACCTAGTGGCATTTTATGACAGGACCCATGTCCGATTTCACCGATCTGAAAGGCAGAAGAAGCAACAAGCCACACACACCTGGACACCCAGGTTCCACTTTTTGAATGACTTAAACCCAGGGGTGGGTCATGTACCCCCAAAGGGAATCTTTGGGTTTAAGTCTATTTGCAGGTGGTCAAACAATAGAACCCTGATGGACACAATCCACTGCAAGCAATTGTTCGCGCTTGCGGACTTTGATTGTAGGACCTCGTTGAAGAAGATGGCCACGTCGAAGGTGAATGGCCTGGGAATTTCATCACCAGGCGCGCATCATTCCCTGTGACTTGCCGGTCTCTTGCCTAAAGTAAAGCCCAGGAGTAGATGTCAAATATGTTAACCATGGGTGTGTCTTTTTTGGAGGGCCTGTATGTTTGTGGCTTTAGGGGCAAAACCAAAGGGACACGAAAAACCAACAGAACACATTATTTTAATACTCTTTGGCCAGTGTAAAATACGTACATATCGTGAGAAAATGCTGCAAAATACAGCATGTTGCTAGCCAAGGCAAAAAATAAAATAACAATAAAAATCCCAAAATAAAACAAGCAGCATCCCAAGTTAAATTTCGACCCATACTCTTTTTTTAGGGGCGCGGGGGTCCCCCCCCCCAAAAAAAAGACACACGCACAAAGAGGACACCCAAAAATTTGACACGTGTTGCTCTGAGCGCGTTCTCGCGCGCCAGACGAGACCAGCGAGAATTCGCTCCTGGCGCGGCTGGTGGGCGGTGTGTTGGGCCCTATGCGTTTCAGCCGCGCGGTCACCGCCTATGAAGGAGCTGACTGGAGCGAGCTTCTGGGCTTGTGGGCAGGTGGTATGGGTGTCAAGTCTGTGGATGGGCGAAATCCATTTCGCAGCACCTGAGAAACGCAGGTTGGGTGATTCCCCTGTAAATATCAAGCCACATTGGTTTTTTCTGGTTTCAAAGTGGTGCAGGATATCGTCCATCCACAGTTTGACTGGCACCAGAAATGCCTCAATCAATTTCCTGCGATTCGCAAGTTGGGGGTCATTTCTTTGATGACCCACATCAAGCAGAAACCAGGGTGGGTGCTCTCCAGTTTTCTGAGTCACGACTCGGTGAAGCAAAACATGCGCAGGATCGCGCACCTCAGCCTTGGGATCTTACCTCACCAACCTGACCTGCTATCCCCGCATCCACTTCGTCGTGCCTGCCCTTGGCGGCGTGGTGGCGCAGGTGACTGGCCGTCGCCGTTTTGGGCGTCATTTTAGGCAGGCGATTCCAAGAAGGCTCTTAGTTGAAAGTATATTTTGTTTGCTAAGGTTCACGAGGGTGAAGTGAATTTGGGAGACGCTGGATCTTAATCTGCGTTGAATGGAAGCTCAGTTTTGTGAAGGAGAAGTATTGCTGGACCATGTCCAGCAAAACCTACTGGTATTTGCGGGGATTAGTCTTGCTGAGCCTTCCTTTCACGAACATTTGATCAAAACACCAGTCAAATTCATGTAGTACCGACGTTCCCAAGATTGAGATTCTAATTTTCAGTTGAAAGATCCTTTTGCAGGGTAACGTTACTACTGTTGTTTCGTACTCAAAACATGTACTTCAAAGGGTTTGCCGTGTTTGCGAGCGGTCTTGCTGAGTTCCTCAAATGTGTCGTTCGCCTGAAGTCGTTTTGGGATGTTTTGGGGATGTAGCCTTGGACTTGAAGGGTTTCTCAGATGATCCCAGACTGTCTGCACCTCACAAACCGTCTGGGAGCCTTGCCTTTAGATGGAAACGAGCGTGTCCGGCCGAAAAAAGAAAGAGACGCCGGCGCTTGCAGGGCATGGAGGACTTCAGCATCGGCAAGCCGGGGGAGAACGCTGGCGCAGAAGCTGCCACCGCCGCACTCCGCCGGGCGCGGGCGAGACGTTCGACCGGACGGAAGTGTTGCGCGCTCGCAAGGTGGCTGTGGTTGTCAAAGCCGTTTTGGGATCCCATTTTGGTTGGTAGGTGAATTCACCACCCATTTTGGAACCTACTTTAGTGGGGATTGGGATGTTCACTGGGGGTAACCGGGATTTTGACCCATGGCCATGTCAGTGTTGAAGTCCCAGCCGCTAGCTGCACCCTGAGGTACTTCTAAAAGGTTTTGGTTACTGGACGAAGCTGTTCACGGTTGACTTGGGAACATGGTACTGGATGTACTGGGTAAGACACGCCAGAGCTCAGCAATCTTCAAGTTTGGCCCTTGACTGACACTCTGGGGATTGACAGAAGCTGTAGTTTCATATTGGGGTGCTTTCCCCACGGGCGACAAAAGCTAGGGTGATCAAGCCAGCAATGATCAATCAAGCCAGCAATGATCAATCAAGCCAGCAATGATCATCGCGTAGTCGCTTGGCACCGGTCGCACGTTTCGAACTTTTGGCACTTTTGGCATCTTGGGAATCTTGGCCCTGCATTTCGCGTCCACCCACCATTTAGGGGCTATTCCCAATTGATAGACACATTGGACATAGCACCTCTTTGTCGCACTCCCTCCAGGGCTCCAAAGAGCGTGACAGATTTGGTCCATTTGGACCAGAATTGCCGGCTCTCACACGCTTACATGTCAAATCGGTTTGCAAGTAGGTGGCTATGGATAACGTGATATTGTCATGCGCCGCAAGTCAGGTTGACTATGCACCATGTTCAAGAAGTACATGAGATTGCTTCATGGCACTCACCGGCTTGTGGCAAGTGTTTCATTTCCGTACATCTCTCTCAACCAGTATCCGGATGCCAGGGGGCTCTCAGCCAATCAACCCGTCAGCGCAACGAGACGAAGCTTATTGTCGCTTGGCCGGCAGAGATTTTTCAGAAGGGGACGCCCGATTTTTGCGATGTTTTTGGGGGATATGGCTATAAATGTTGAATGGGGAACCCTCTGAAGAGTGGTTAGTGGACATACATCCGCACCTAAATGATGTCCACCAACGGGTGCCTAATTAGAATTCATAGCCACATGTTGTCCCTTGATTTGTACTGTTTGATTCTGAGATGCCTGACAAAGGCAATTCCCGTCAAACCGCGCGTCGCACGTTGCCGGTCCAAGGCCTATTCCATGTTCTGCCGTGGCCTCGAGCAGTCAGGTGCTGTGGCGAAGGCGAGAGATGCGAGTCTCGCAGCTATCGGTGCAGGGACATGGTTGATCAACATTCCCTTCGCCCCCCAAATGACCATGGGTCACTTTGTCCCTGACATATTCATCTTTTGGGTGGGTTTTCCAACCGATGGTCATCCTATGTTTACAGGACCATTTGGTGCAGTTGATCTTTGGCGCATGCAACACGAGAGGTGGCGGACATCAAGACGGACCGGGCCTTCCAGGCTGGAAGCGAGAATTGCCCTCTATAAACGTCTTCCGCGGTTCTTTCTGAATGTGTCTCTTTGGTTGTGGAGCCCCAAAATGGCTTCGGTTTGCCTCTTGGTTTCTCTTGAACACCACTACATGAAGGCTGGTTTTCCTTTTGCCTTCCCTTGAAAAGCTTTGCAAACCACGAAAAAAGCCGGGCACCCTCCAAAAATGGCAGTTCCCCAGAAGAAAAAGAACAAAAAAAAAACAAAAAACAGAATCCGTCTCGTCCGCACGCCGGGCGCGCGCATTTGCCAGTTTGTGGACTGGTGCCCCACGGGCTTCTCCATCTTCAGCTACCACGACCCCAAGGCCCAGGCTCCGGAGGCGCGGGCTGACGCCCTCGACAGCAACTGATGGCGGTGGTGGTCAAAACGAGCCACCAGGAATTGGAACGCAGGGTTTCGTCTTTGGTTCCAGAAAACCAGGGTATTCTTGGTACGCATTGACGAACCACGAACTGAGTACTTGTCGTGAAATTCGTCTCAGGGCAGCAAAACCGTGTTGGGATCCCGTTTGGGGGTTTTAGGTGAATTTATCACCCATTTTGGGACCTATTTTAGTGGGGATTGGGATGTTCACTGCAAAATCGGGGTTTTGACCCATGGCCATGTGAGTCATCATCAAAACCCGGGTAGATGAAGGTTAGTAAGGGACGATCCCAACCCTAAATAGCTGCGGATATCCGCCTTCTTAATTGTTTACATGGTTCTGGGTAGACTATTTTAATACCCATGTGTAGCTCAAGCGTATGAATTGGCCCAAAATGAACCCTGGTAAGTGGAGAAGTAGACTAACACCTGTGCTCCCCCGGCACTTAAATTTTGAGCCGCGCCCCAAATAGAGTGCTTAACTATAGTGACTGGCGACCTTCAGGCATTCAATGATGGCTTTGTGAGTGATCAGTCAGTTCCGGCATAATTAGAATCACCTCTCCAGCTGATGTATGCCAATTTGTCAGCTGACACCAACCCGACAATGTAATCGCTTTCCCCTGTTATTACATTCCCCCATGAATAGATATTATGTTTTGCGAACGCATCTTTATTCAGGGGGTTCCATCGGGTTTCCACTACTGTCCTCGTCCAAATGGGTTCCCCCATTTGCCGGCACAAAGTCCGTCAACATCGTAATCTGACGCGTGAGGAAATTATCACTGCTCAAGGCACTTTTTTGATCTTGTCAATTCAAACTTAAAAGGCAAAATTATAATTACAGCTTACAATTTGAGTTTACTGTTAAAGGAGTGGACGAGCTGAACGTACCCCCTACTGAGGGCTGTCAGGAGTGCAGTATTGGTTTATTATTGGATGCGTTAAGAGTAAAAGGGCAGAGCTCTTTTTGGATTTGGGCCTGAAAATCATATAGCCGGAGTGACTTAATAGCTGGAAGGGATTAGTTTGATGGCACAGCCAATAGCTGCCTGCCTGTCAATTTGTTGATTGAATATTATTTTATATTATGTTTGTTTGGCAGCGGATCTCAGTCCATGATCAAAAGAGCTAAATCAGGCTATATCCCAGACATCCTAGACCATTCTGGTCATGCCTGTGAGGCCTTATGGGTCTGGTTTAATTGGTAGGGTTCTTAACTGAGTTTGCTTTCAAGTGGTTTTTTGGCAAACGTTCACGTATCAATTTGAGTTTATATTGCATCCATTGCTGTTGGCTTTTGCACCAGAACCACACTCCTTTGCTTCAGCGAAATGAATCTTGCCCGGCGAACTGACTTTGGCTGGCTCACTTTGACCGTTCAGCATGGGCCTGCAGCAAAGCTTTGAAGCATTTTTGGTTATCACTGTTGCAGGATGACTTGTTCAAGGTAAGTTGGCCAGTGAGGGCAGTGCGAGCCAGAAAGCCTATCGCAGGCCCACACTGATTTGCTTTGCACCCTTCCGAGGACCAGCAATCACAAAGCCTGTATCCGTCGAAAAGGATCCTGCTAGCCAACTCAATCTCGCATTGGCTGGCAACGGCATGTGGTCTGGGCAACTACTTGCAGCTGCGGGAAGGAGAAGTGGCATGAACCTGCAGTTCCAACTGAAAGGAAAACACACATGGAAAGAACCTGGGGATTCCCTGAAAGGAAAAAACTTCTCACCCGGTGGATGGTGGTTTTCTCGGTCCTTCCATAACTCTCATTCCCTTAGCTTCTCTCTCTCGCAGCGATCGATGGAGGTGGCGGTCCTGGAGAACTCCACCGCGGCCGCGAAAGTCTTCCAGAGCTTTCAGTCGGCCATGGCCAGCGCCCGAGCGCCTTGCGGTCTGCCGCACCTCACGTTTGGACGTTTGGTGGAGCGGGGCTATTGAGTCTTTACACGGACCCCCCACCCCCGGCAAAAAACGTGGAACCAGTCAGGTTTCGGAAGCAAACCACAGTGCTAAACACAGTTTCTTCCTATCCATGCACAGAAACACAAGATGAAACTCAATAGCCCTGCGTCTCAAGACGGGTAGAGAGAGGTACTGTCCCTCCCAGACCGCCAGGATTTTCACTCAAGAGGGTCCAGCTGGCACGTCGATGAACATGAGATCAGCTGCCCAAGAGCAAATGGAGCACAGCCTTCAAAGTTGCTTGCTTTGGTTGACCTGATCTACCATGTGCTCAATCTACTTCGCAAGCTTTAAAAGTTGTTTGGCCCGACTCTTGTAGTCTATGTCACTTCTTGTTGGCATGAGCAAAGTGACCCTGAGAGTAGATCCTGAAAACAAAATCAATATGTCTCAACAAGACTCCATGTCCCACCTCTTAAATGAAAGTTGTGCCCCAGGCAGGGTTCCATTTTGTGACTACCCTAAAAATAGGCTTAAACCCAGGGGAAGTCCAAAAATGGAACATCGGCTCCAGGTGCCACTGGTTCCGCAAGCACCAAGGACAATGTGCGTTCCGAGCTTGAATCCCAAGTCGAAGGCTGGCCGAGACATGAATCCACGTCATAGCGCAATGGGGGCCTCGTCTTTTGACGGGGCCCCTCTTGTAGGTTTAAAGGAAGCCAAGAAGAAGACAGTTCGAAGCCATTTTGAGGGGATCCCTTAGGACACACCCATGGCGCGGAATGTATGGCAACCATTTTCAAGTGTCTTAAACCGTTTCTTTTTTTTGGTGTTAAGGCACTTGTATGTCATGTGAGACCAGAAGCAAGCAATGTTCATGTGCTGAGAAAGCAGAAGCAGCAGAAAGTCTGCAGCAGTCACAGTTGATGCTGAATAAGCGCTCGGAAGACTCGGAATGCATTTTTCGGTAGACACTACTGCCGTATGCAACACGATGCAATGATATGGTTCCACGAAATGGCGGACAGCGATTTGGTTGGTATTTAAAGGGGAAACCAAAAGGACACCCCCTTTTTTCTTTTTCTTTTTTTTGGGGGGGGGCGGTGCCTTCATTTTGAGAGAACCCGTATGACAAGTCATTGGGCTAGACGGCACACGTGCATCAGGCCAGGATTTTCGCTGAATAGAATAGAAAGTGCAAACATGAGCCTCCGAGAACTGCCGTTTGCGGATGGGGTGATCAGCAATCACAAAGAGCAGCAGCAAAGACGTACTTTCAACTCATTGAAGAGTCGGCGACGGTACGGAATTCAACGAAAACATACAGTATGTCTATTTCTCAATAGGGACAGCCAAATTATATTTGCAGATGGTATCCCAATGAGAAGCGTAGATGACGTCTTTTTGATTGGGCACACATTCGAAACTGGCCACAGAAAATCGACGACAATGCCGATGTTCAGGAAGCTGGACCTTTCTTGAAACAAGTAGTTGTGCAAAAGAAGTGGAAGATTAAGGTACATGATGCACTCAAATCTCCTCCGTGTAGAAGCCCCGGAAGCAACGGAAGCGGCAGCCAAGTTGGACACAAAGCTAGTGGGAACTGACGCAACTATTCCAGATTGCCAGAGGAAGATTCGCCCGTTGAGTGAACTATATCAGAAAGGCTCAAGCTCCTTGGCATAAGAAGACTACTACGCTCCCCGCAACATCATTCCCTACGGGCTTCCTGCCAAAAGTGGCAAGAGAAAGACCATGGAAGCTGCCAGCTTGTTGGCGTCGCTCGAGTGATCAGCCAACGTGCGACATGGAAATATACCCGAACATGTCAGGCCCTTTTGATGAAACCTTGGTGGACATGCTTTGGTAGCACCAACAAGTCTCCCCAAGCAGACCTATAGAATCCAAAACAATGGGATGTGCTACCTGAAACATGCGCAGGGGCGCGCACGCGGGCGTCGGGCGGTCGGGCGTGGTGCGTGCGTGGGTGGGTGGGTGGTCTGGGGTGGGTGAGTGGGTAGGTGGGTGGGTGTGCGCGTGCACATGCGGGTGTCATGTTTGGCAACTTTGTTTGCTCAGTGTCAAGGCGGCCAATTGTCGGAGATGCAGGAGAACCTCGCAGTCCTGTGCAACTTGGCATGGGCTGAATCAATGTGAAATGGTCGGTTGTGAAACAGAGGGAGCTGTGTGAAAGCAACTTTGCGTTTGAAGCCCCGACCCAATCTTTCACGTGAGCCAACTCCCTTATTGCTCAGCAACAATGTTTTAATTAGCGGGCTGATTTTGATTTCGTCAGTTGCCTAACTGACGTGCTCATATTGAGTTCACACTGTCGGTCCCTCTACCTTCATTCTGCTCCATCTGCACGATCAGCGTCATGGAGCTCCGATCGTTGCTGTTTCTTCTGGGCCCATGGCGGCTTCTTGTGTCCCAATCTGCATTCCATCCTGGCATGATCATCTTCTGCTCGTACACGGAAGTAGGCTTGACATAGATTGCCCTCAACCGTTTGTCTATTTATTTTTTCCATTGGAGACTTGCTGCAGGCCTTCCGTTCTAGGCTTTGCGGCCAAACACGAACGCGGCACAAAGCATGCAAATTGTGTGTCACCGCATGCTGGGCTGCAAGGCCGAGACTATGAGGAAGTCTCAGCTGAGACTTGCGGTGATGAAGAGGAGGAGGAGGACGGCGAGGCCTCAGCTCGATGCTCGTATCGGCTTCGTTCGGACCTGTGTATCCGGCCGTTTTTCCAAACTTCGGCGCACAGTTGGGAGTGCTTGGACTTGCGGGCTCCCCTTTTCCTTGTGATATGGCAGAGTGTGTTAAGTATTATCCACGATGTGCGATGGATGAAGATCGCATTGTCTTGCAATCTGACGTTTGTAACTATTCTTCGAGTTGAGTGTTGTTAAGGCACGGTGAGATGCAACAACGGCTGCGTGCAACAGGTCCCAACCAAATGGGCGGATTCTGCAAAACTTTGGGCAAACTTGGATGTGGATTTTGCAGTGCCCTGTCAGGACTACTGAGCTCCGGTTTAAAAGGAGCCTCGCATTAGCACGGCCGTGCTTTTGCGTGGGATCCGCGCCCGGCTTCCCAGAAGTTTGGAGCTCTGAGGGTAAACTTGGACCACGTTAGACCTTTGAAGCCTTGTCCGCTGGAGTGTGCCATGTGTAAAATCGCTTGCACACTGTTCTGACTTGCTCCCACGGTTTTCCCGAATGGGAAGAACCTGGGTGCCGGGCCTTTGCAGCGTTTGCTTTGCACCTCCTGACTGCCGATTGGCAAACGGTGCAGCACATCGTTGAATTCTGATACTTCGATCACAAGCAGGAAGCAAGCACCCACCGGGGGTTGAGCAAAGCATCTCTGCCGAACTTTGAGCATGTCGCAGTGCTCACATGATACATCATCCAGCGTGAAAAAAAAGGTGCGGGAGCAGATGTCACGGCAAGTCCGAGGTTGCCTTGCAAGCTATCATTTGGCTGGTTTGCGTTGGTCGACAAGCCTAGGCTCAGTAAAAAACGCTGTATTTATTCAATGACTAGCAAGAGGTTTGGTGTGCGTGTTTGGCTGACTGGAGAGAAGTTTCAGATGTGCAGACCACAGCTGCCTGAATGTTCAGTAACTAGGACTGTCTGTTGAACATGACTCGAGAGATGGGGAGGAGCAGGTAAGACATGGGATGGGCGTCAAGACTTGTGTTTTTCGGATGCAGGCTGGCAAGCACGAGCAGCAGTCAAAAGTCCGGAGCATGCTGGACGAGCAGCTGAAGGCGTTCGAGGGCAAGATGTCGCAGTCCGAACTTGAGTCAAGAAGCAAGAATCCACCGGTTCTTTTTCAGGGCTCCTTAAAAGATACATGTTGCAACCATTTAAAACATGGCTTGTTCCACCAAAATAAAGGGACTGTTTTTGTGCAATAGTTCCTTCTCATGAATCCTCAAACACAAAATGTGTGAAGCTGCAGCGAGACACGGCTGAATGGGTGTGCGGCTGATGTGGCTTCCCAAATTTGAGTGAATACCAGAAGTCCAACTCCTTGTAGGAACCCTGCTTGTCCATGTGGAAGTGTAGGTGCGATATGATTGCATCCTGCATTATTCAAGCATTGGCGGAGCAACACGGACTTGAGCTTTGTGCATGTGCGTGTGTTCGTGTGTTGAAGCATGCGCTGCAGGAGTTTCACAAGATGCAGAATAAGGAAGAGCGCGCGAGGCAACAAGAGCGTCAGGACCCCGTTTCAGCCAATGGGTACTGTACCGCCTCACTGTGCCTGCACTTGCAAACTCTGCGAAAAAGAGTGTGTTCCGCCGTCCAGAGTGGTCTGCTTCAAGCCAAGTTCACCTCACATCAGCGCTTTCCTTTCGGATCCGCATTCCGTTCACGCCAACATTTGCAAGCAGGCACCTCTGACGCCGCTCGCAAAGGCGGCGCGTCTGCCATGACCGTTTCGTGACTCCGGACCTTCGGAGCTCGCGCGAAGTGGGACGCACTCGGCGCGTGCGTCCTGAAACAGGTCTTGGGGTGCTTGGGGCTCGCGGGACAGAAAGGAAACAACTCTCGGCAGATACGTCCTGATGCAGAACACGTGCATGTTTATGGATCTCCGAATGAAAACTAGCTGGCTAGCCAACAATGTTCCAGTTCCAGTTGAAGGATTCGGAACAGGAAGCAAAGGGCTCGGCAGATGAATTATGTTTCTTGTTTGCAAAGGGAAAGCGTTAGTGCGTCCTGAAAGGACATGCTGAACCAGGTGAAGGAGAATGAGCGCCTTGCGCAAGCAGAGAAGGACGGTGCTGCCAGCAGTGCTGCGGGTCAGCTTATGCATCATCCAAAGATAGATAATGCGTAGAGCTTGCATGGCACCGGATGAAGTATATGAAGTCATGTATAGTATTGCATCACCCGACACAGGGTTGAACCAATCCTGGAAGATTTTCGAGAGGAGTTGGGAGCAACTTAACAACTACGAGAGTGCAGACTGCGGCAGAATGTTAACCCCGGATTAATAAACCCCTGGTTGATTAATAGAGGGGGGTGTCCCCTTTTAGTGGGGATGCAGACCACTTTTGGAGGGGATTCCACCCCCCTAAGAATGGGACGGGTTCTACTTAGATCCTGGGTCGACATTACTTGACATTCAAAACAGCCGAAATCTCAGGACAGAGCTTGGTCGACTTGGCCAACGGATCGCACTTTCTCGCGCCAGGCTCAACGAGATGGCCTGCGGGATCAGGCGAAGGCCATCAACGAGCTGTGCGCCTGGCTCAAGTTTTTCTCGTGATGGCCGCAACCGATGGGCAGTGGGGAAAGTACGGCCGTGGGTCAAAACCAATGGGATCCCATTTTGGGCTAGGTGCACCTCTATTTTAGTTGGGATTGGGATGTTCACTGGGGGACGGGCCTTTGACCCATGGCCGTACCACGGGCGGCGAGTAGCAGCTCTGTGAATGAGCAGTCCAATCTACTTGAGCGTGTAGGGGATGAGGAAGTGCCCAATTAATTGATGATGCATTGCCTAGACTGAAAGAGGATCGAGTACATCACTCAAGAGCAAGGAAGGTACTGCTTCGTTCATTCAGCAGGGCGAGAGTCGGCGGAAGCGACACACAACTAGGTTGACAAGTTCCTTGAAGCCTTACAGCCAAAGCTGAGACAGTTGATTTGGGTCTTTCAGCAAGAGACAAGCCAAGTCAGAGCTTGGAACCGGAGTAGACTCGATCAGACTTCACAGCTCTCTTGTGAAGCGGGCCATGTGGCAGGAGCCTGGAATCTCTTCGCAGACGAAGAAAGGCAGAGGAGG